CCGGAGGAAGGCCGCTGGGGGCACCCATGGGCGCGTTGGGGACCAGGGCGGCACCCCCGAGTGCCCCCCGCTACCCCGCCTCGCCTGGGATCTGGGCGTCTGGGTGGAGATGCCTCCCGGCCCTGCTAGGGCTTGGGGACTCAGGTGGCCCCCCCGCCTCCAAGGATTTCCACTCAGCACCCTTGGGTGCCCCTGTCACCCTTGGGTGCTCCCTGCCCCCCAGGGGCCCCCCAGCACCCCTGGGTGTCCCAGTAACCCTTGGATGCCCCCAGGACCTCTGGGAACCCTTCATCACCCCAAGGATCTACCGCCACCATCCCACGTGACCCAGTCACCCTTTGGTGACCCTCAAAACTCCAAGGGCCCCCCAGCACCCAAAGGATCTCGCTAGCGCTTCTGGGTGCCCCTGTCACCCTTGGTGTCCCCAGCACCCCAAAGACTCTCTAGCACCCCTGGGTGCCTTTCACCACCCCAAGGACCCCCTACCACCACCCCGAGTGGCCCTGTCACCCTTGGGTGCTCCCTACCACCCCAAGCAACTTCTTACATCCTCTTAGTACCTCCATCACCCTTGGGTGCCCCTCACTACCCCAGGGACCCCCATGTCACCCTTGGGTCCCCCCAGCACCCCAAGGACGCCCCACCACCCCAGGAGCTCCTGTCACCCTTGGGTGCTCCTTACCCCTCAACGGTCCCCCCCAGCACCTAAGTGTTCCCTTCCCCACCTCGGGGTACCCCCTCCCCACCACTCATGGGTGCCCCCGCACCCCGGGGTGCCCACCTGTCGTGTGGTGGGCCACAGCCTTCGCCAGCATGGTCTTGCCGCAGCCGGGAGGGCCGTACATGAGGACGCCCCGCGGGGGGTCGATGCCGATCTGCGGGGGACGGCAGAGACATGGGGGTGTCACACGGGGGCTCATACGTCCCCCTACCCCCACCCCGGGGTGCCGGGTGTCCCCACCTGCTTGTAGAGCTCGAAATGGGTGAGGGGCAGCTCCACGGCCTCCCGCACTTCCTGCTTCTGGATGTCCATGCCCCCGATGTCGGCATACATCACGTCGGGCTTCTGGTCTGCAACAGGGCCAGGCTGTCAGTGGGGTGTCAGAGGGTGGCAGCTGGCACCCAAGGGTGCTCAGGGACCTTGCCAGGGGGCCTGGCCCAACCGCCACCTCCTCAAACCAGCTCCCCCCACAGCAGATTGCGCAGAGCTTCATCATGGAGAGGGCTGGGGAACTCCAAGGATGGAGGTTCACCACCTCCATGGGTTTGGGCCTGACTTCATCCCTTCCAGGCCAGCGGAGACACGAGGTCCCTCCACCTCAAAGCATCTCCAACCAGAGAAGGTCACTCAAGAGCTTCATCCAGATGAGAACAGCAGATCTCCAAGCACGGAGGTCCACTATCTCCATGGACCTTGCTGCACCTCCATCCTCTCCGGGATGGTGGGGAAGAAACCTTGGGAGATGCCTGGTCCAACCTTCTCCTCAAGACAACTCCAATCAGAACAGAACACTCAAGAGCTTCATCCAAGCAAGTGTGGGGAGTCTCCAAGGATGGAGGCACATCACCTCCATGGGTCTTGGCTCAGCTCTATCCCTTCCAGGACAGCAAGGACACAAGGTCCCTGGTCTGCTCTCCTCCTCAAAACATCTCCAATCAGAGGAGGTCACTCAAGAGCTTCACCCAGTTGAGAGCTGGGGATCTCCAAGGACAGAGCTCCACCAACTTCATCTTCCCTGAGACGGTAAAGAAGAAACCTCTGGACATCTCTGATATTCCTCCATGACGCGGACCACATCTGGCTGCTCCTCACCCTCATGGTCCAGCTCTGGAGAGTTCTGGTCTCCAGCGCACTAGCATCTCCCCAGCCTGCTGTCACCAGGAGCTCTTCTACTTCTACCATCAATGGTGTTGATAAAAACACACAACCCAACATCAAGCCCTGAAGAACATCCCCAGCGCTTGGCCGTCACCTGGACTGCATCCCGCTGCTCTCCATTCTCAAGACCTGGCTCTGGACATCTCCGGTTTCCAGTGCACCAGCATCTCCCCAGCCTGGCGTTGCCCACCTAGTCCCACCACCGAGAGCATTAACAAAGATAACGTGACCCAGTTCAAACCCTGAAATACGTCTCTGGTATCGCTCCACCTCATGGACCAGGTCTGGCCGCTCTTCACCCTCAGGGTCGGGAGAAGATCCCTGGTCTCCAGTGCACCAGCATCTCCTCAGCATGGTATCACCCATGAACTTGCTGACAGCACCCTTGAACCCCCCCCATCAATGACATGAATAAGGACACACGACCCAACGCTAAGTCACGAAACAGGTCCACAGTATCTGGTCACCACCTGGACCATGTGCTGCTGCTCTTCACTCTCCAGTCCGGCTCTGGAGATCTCTGGTCTGCAGCATTATCTGCATCTCCTCAACCTAGTAGCACCCATAAGAGCTCCTTTAATCCCACCCTTAAGCACATAAATAAAGATACATGACCTAACACCAAGCACTAGAAAACATTTGTGGTCTCTGGCCACCACCTGGAGCAGGCTCTGTTGCTCTCCATTCTCAAGGTCCACCTCCGGTGGACCAGCATCTTGCCAGCCTGGTGTCACCCATGAACTTAGCAAGAGAGCCCTTGATCCCGCCACCGGCAACGTTAACAACCTGACATCAAGGCCGGAAGAACATCCTTAACGTTTAACCACCACCTGCACCATGTCCTGCTGCTCTGGACATCTCTGGTCTCCAGCGCACCAGCATCTCCCCAGCGTGGTATCACCCACAAACGTACCCCGAGCACCCCCGGTCCCACCACCAAGAACATTTATGAAGATCCTCGGCCACGTATCGACCCCGAGGGCCTCCGCTGGTGGTGTCCAGCCACCACGGGGACCACGTCCTGCTGCTCCCCCCCCTCCGCTCCCAGCCTCGGAGGTCCCTCCGGAGCTCGCCCACCTGACGTGAGCATCATGATGCTGCTGTCGGCCTCGGGCGGGAGGACGTCGACCAGGGCGTTGCTGTGCTTGTGCAAGGCCACCGAGGCATTGGGCTTCAGCAGCTCCCGGTCGATGGTGCTCAGGATCCGCACGTAGTAGTTGGAACCTGCGGGGAGGTGGCCGGGTGTCCCCAGGTGTCCCGCTGTGGTCGTCCCCATCCGGCCGGCCCTGTCGTACCTCCCCTGCCCAGCGAAGGAGGTCCGCAGCCCCTCATGGAGGTCCCTCGTGGGGCTCTCCAGCACCTCGTGGCCATCCCCAGGTCCCCACGATAGCTGTTCTCTTCGGTTTGTCCCCACGTCCCCAAGATAAACGTCCCCTCGCATCCGTTCCTACGTCCCCGTGATACCTCTTCGCTCAGGGTCATCCCCAGTCCTTTGTGACCCTTCTCATGTCACCAAAACACTTGTCCCGTCATGGCCATCCCCATGTCCCCGTTCCACTGGTGGCCGTCCACAGCCCCCATAGCTGTCCCCGGCCTGCTGTGGCCCTCCATGCTTGTCCCGTCACGGCTGTCCCCATGGTACCTGTTCCCTCGTGACTGTCCCCATGCCCCCGTGATACCTGTGTCTTCACGACCACCCCCCACCCCATCCCCAACCCCCCGCGGCTGTCCCCACGCCCCCAAGGCCACCTGTGGTGGAGCCCACGATGGCCGTGTTCTGGTCGACGGCCTCCAGGAACTGCCCAATGACCAGCGGGATGCTCTGGATGCGCTTCACCTCCTCCTGCGCGTGCAGGAACTCCTTCTTGAGGTTCTTCTGCTCATCCTTGATGTACTCCTCCTGCACCTCCAGGAACTCCAGCTCCTGCTGCAGCTTCTGTGGGGCCACCGCCGCTGCGTCATGGGGCGCCCGGGGGGCACCCCGAGGACAAGGGACAGTCCCTGAGGCCACGGGATGCTCCCTGAGGCCACGGTGACACCTCCGAGGCCATGGGAACCTCCCTGAGGCCGTGGGGACCCCACCCCTGACCACAGGACACTTCTTGAGACCATAGGGACACCTCTGAGGCCATGGAGACCCAACCTTCCAGACCATGGGACGCTCCTTGAGGCCACAGGGACTCCTCCAAGGCTACGAGGACCCCTCCAAGGCCATAAGGACCTCCCCCACACCATGGGACGTTCGCCAAAGCCATCGGGCCACCTCAGAGGCTATGGAAGTCCTCAAGGCTGTGAGGACACCTCCGAGACCCAGGGTACCACCCCCCAGGCCATGGGATGCTTCTCGAGGCCATGAAGATCTCTCTGAGACCACGAGAACCCACCCCACAAATGTGGGGCAATGGTCAAAATCATGAGGACCCTACAGAAGCCATGGGGTGCTCCTCAAGGGCATGAGATCGCCCCCCCAAGACCGTAAGACCCAACCAAGGACATGAGGACACTCTTGGAGGCCACGGGGACCCATATGAGGCCAAGGGACATTCCTTGAGGCTGTGGGGAACCTCCTTCCAGGCGGTGGGACCCCACCAAGGCTGTGAGACCGCTCCCTGTGGCCGAGGGGACATCTCCGAGGCCACGGGCTGTTCCTTGAGGCCACGGAAACCCCCCACCGTGACCACAGGATCCCTCCCAAAGCAGCAGGACGCACCTCAAAGCTGTGGAGACACCTCTGAGGCCATGTGGATCCCCCAAAATCTGTGAGACTCCCCCC